AGTGAGGCGGAGGAGGCGGTTGGGACTACTTGGCGTTCCTGCCACGGCCTCGGCGGAAGGAGCGCGCTGTGCGAGAGGCTGCGCGGTGCTGCGGCTCTCCTCAGCGCTTCCTGGAAACTCCCGCTTAGGAACGGGGGGGGGGCGGGGGGAGCGGGAGGGAAAGAGTCCCAGGCCGGGAATGGGAGAAGGGAGGGGGCACGTCATAGCTCCCTCTTCCCGTGCCCGGACACCCCCCGAGCCTGCTGACACCCCTCAAGCAACCCCACCTCCCCTCAGTTCCTGTGCCGATGGAGCACGGAGAAGTGAGGGATAAACTCCTTCGTAACCGCCGTGCAGGCTGGGGGAGGGGGGGCAGACCCCCCGTTTTCTCCTCATAACCCGGTGGGGGGAGGGAAAACCCACACTTTTCCCCTCAAAACCCTGCGGAGTGGGGGGCAGACCCCCCTTTTCCCTCACAACGCGGGGAGCTCCCCTCAGCACCCCCAAAACTGAGGGATGGGGAGAACGCAATGGGGTGGGTGGGGGGCGAAAAGACTCTCACCCAAGGGGGGGTGGCAAGAGGCAACGACCCCCTAAACAACCCCATTCCTCCCGTGTTCCTTGGGATGGGGGGCGATCCCTGGATCCGGGGGCTGGGAGCGGGCTGAGGGGGAGGGGAGGCCGGGCTGGTAAATGCGAACGCTGGTACAGAAGCGTTTTAGCACAATCGGGCTGGAAAGCTCCAACTGCAACGGGGCTGAGAACAAAAAAAAAAAAAAAAAAAAAAAAGAGGGAAAAAAAAAAAAAAGAGGAAAGAAAAAAGTGAAAAGGCTCCTTTGCTGCCCTCTGCCTGCCGAGGCTGCGGGGGAGCCCGGCCGCCTCCTCGGCCGGGGAAGGGCTCGCATTTCCTGGGTGGAAAAACTGAGGAAACGGGGCCAGCTCGCACACCTGTGGTGCTTTCACAGAATCGCAGGATCCATCAGGTTGGAAAAGACCTCTGAGGTCATCGAGCCCAGCCTTTCCCTGCTCAGGATGCACTGAGTTATCCTTTGTCCCAGGCGTGGATGCGCTGCTCTTCACCTCGCTGCCCAAAGACTTTAATAAGGGGTAAAACTCATTCCCATTAGAGTCGGCTGAAGGATGTCTCCAGGCTGAGAGGGCTTTGGGATCTACTGTTTAATACTTAAATTATTTAACCAGACAACACTAAAAATGCATAACATATGCAAGCCACAAAAAAAAAAAAAAAAGGAAAAAACAGGAGGGGAAAGCAAGTCTGCTGACACACAAACACGGCCGGTAAATACCGTGTGGTTCATTAGATACGGGCTGGGGTGATTCTGCCCAGCAGTTAAAGGCCTCTCACTTCCCCTGCCTGCTCCAGATTGTTGCCTTGTACAGGCTCCTCTCTCCAGCTCTGCCGGTTCCCAGTTTGCCACCTTTTAAATGTGGAGCTGTTGATCCTCTCTGCTGTTGCAGTGCAACACTTTGATGCCAAAAAACCCCCTTCCTCCGCTGAATCCACAAGTTTCGGGGATGCTGGGACTACTCAGGAAAAGCAGGCAACATGTAATGAAATTATGTGGAAGAGAAGGATCCATTAGAGCAAGGAGATACCCGTAAATCCTGTTAGCGACCAAGCATTTCCATAGAAATTTCCTGATTCTGGATGCCCCGCACCTTTCCTATGCTTCCATTTCCTTGACACCACTCCTAAATCTCTACGTGGCTTCATTTACAAGCCTAAAACCCAAATGTAAATGGAGGGGGGAGGATCTCTTTGAAGTCCTGTCTCCTTTGTGGGTTTTAACTCTTAAATTTCGTAGTTCAGGGTCTACTGGAAAGAGCAGCCTCCAGCTCTTGGAGTAGGAATCATCTCTTGGCTTTACACTCCTCCAGCACCACTCAGTTAAGTATGAGCTGTGTGGTTTTAGTCTTTTTAATATCTTTTAGTTACTTGCTCTTTGTTGTACTTTTATTCCTTTGCTCTTTGTACTCCAACCAGTGCAGAACGGCTTCTAAATACACGGATTTATTCTGTCAGCCTCGCGCTGCTTCCCTTAAACATTAAAATATTAAAACACAAAAGCTCCCTGATTACTCATCAGCAGATCGGTGACTTTACACACAGACAGCTTTCTCTGGAGCAAATTAAAACAACTCCTTCAAAAAACTCGGGCTGAGATGGATTGTTTCCAGATCCTCTATTTTTTTTTCCCCCCTCAATAAAAAAAGCAGGTCCCAATAAACAGCCGCTGTAGAGAAGCTGATGGCTCACCACATTGTGATGCTGGTGGTTTTGGTTTCACTGCAATCCTGTGTTTAGAGAGCACAAGATGGGAAAATGTCACTTTGTCCACGTGTCCCATAAGAATAAATCATCCTGGATACTTCAAATGGGCAAAGCATCCCCCAACAGAGCTCATTTCTTAGTCTGCAGTGCAAAGCTTGATGCTGCCTGGTAGATAGTTTAAATTATCATAGGAGAATTATCAAAAGCCTAAAAAAACCCCCCAACACATTAAAACGAAGAACTGAAATTCTTCAGCTGCAGGAAATTCAAGTGTTGGAAAGAAAAAAGCCCACAGCTCCCTGATATCAGGAACTCTTAATTGAGGAAAAGTAGTTTATTCCTACATGTCCTTTTCAGTGTGCTCTTGTCTAAGTTATTGGTTGTCCTCTTGTTTTTATGGCAACCACTCCAGGATTGACCACTTTAATATTCACTACTTGAGTGTTTGTAATGATTCCTGAGAACTGGGAGGGATAATGTGCCCAACACAGGGATCCTCAGCACGGCTATGTAGGGGGTGAAGATACACCTTGAGAAGTCTCAGGTTCTGAGATTAAGTCTAAATCAATTATTCTGGCTGAATTTTGTTCAATTAATGATGTTAATTGCCTGCCTGGAGACTGTTTAAAATTTGAAACCATTTCATAACTGATACATAAAGATTTTGCAGTTGGGAGTGATTTGTTGATACCAGATCTGATACAAATCCCTCTCCTGCTGTTTTGTTGGCTCTCTGGTGCCAGGTGGAAGGGCAGTCCTGTTTAGTTTGGGAAAACAGATGATCTGGTTGAGAATTGTGCTTTATTTTAAGTAATTACCAGATCCAGGGTAGCATTTACACCTGTATTTTTAATGTTCTGGCTGACAACATTTTTTTATTTTTAATGTTACTCAAGTAACTCCATCTCAAGCAACTCCATCTCAAGCAGAGATTCTGCTGAATCCGGACTAGCAGAATCCAGTAAAAAAAGGTGTTAGTTTTATAAAGCTGCAGTTGCAGCACTGAGCACAGCTTAACCAGGGAGAGCTGAGGTTATTGGCCTGGAGTACTCGGGACTTGCTACATTTGCAGTGGTATCACTGAAATATCACTGGAACATGCTGCAAGAGACTCTGCTCTTCATCTTCCCGGCCTCCTGCCAGGCCTCTGGCGGAGGATGAGGGAAGTTTACAGGAGCTTCCCAAATGGGAAAGGAAAAAAAAAAGTCATTTAAGTGATGTACTTGTGAATCAGCAGCTGAAGAAACGTCATGTGAAGGGAATCCCACTGTCAATGACAGAACCCTTCCCATGGCTCTGTGCTGCAGTGAAAGCCCCGGCAACACTGCCCAGTCACAGCTCCTAAATGGTGCTAAACATCCCCAATTCCATGCTCTGAGTGCTGGCAGCAGGAACACGGGGGAGCAGAGAGGGGATGGCAGTGTCTGTGCCCTGAGCTGCTGTCGTGGGCACCGGTGTTCACCTTCCCCACCACGGCTGCGCTGCAGGTCACAGGAGCTACAGCCACGAGGATGGAGAAAACACGTTGGAGGAGTCAGGCAGGTGCTTTTGGAGGAGGAGGATGTTTCAAACACAAATCTCAGCCCTCTGCATGACCTGTTTAGGATCCGCCAGGGCTGAGTTAGTCCTGAGGCCAAAGGAGTAAAATGCAGGTAGAAGACAGAGGTGTCTCCTCTCTGTGGCTGCCAAGGAGTGATAGTGAAGAGAGAGGACAAGACAGCACAAAATTGCCAAGACATCATGCTCATTTTTCAGCAAACACCCATTAGTGAAATTGTTTTCTTTGCTTTTGACAAATCAGTTCAAGCCCACACACATCCTGCAGGATACGTTACACTCAAGGCTCGAGCCTCTCTCATTTCCCAAACAGCTCTGACACCCTGCTAGTGATCATCTACTGAAGGCACCTCATTTCACGTTGTAGTCCCTCATGACAGAATAATTCCCACTGTTTATACCCTTTTTTTAATGAATGGAAGATGCTCTGATGTATAAGCAAAATACATTGTAAACATCAACAGTGGCTAAACTTGATTTGCATTTTCTGCGGATGTCAAGTTTCTCCCTTACAAACCTTTTTGTTTTTTTTCTGGCCTCAACAGATTTTTGAATGGTGTTTCAAAGACCACTGATGACACCATTCAGTAGCTGTCAAGAGAAAGAATCCATGGATGGAGTTAAGGAGGGAGATGAAAGCAGCCTATGCCCCAAACCCAACATTTTCACAGTGCACGTGGGCTGGTTGTGTGAGCCAGATGCAGAGAGCTCCAGGGATGCTCCGCCGCAATCCTACAACCCTAATTCCTGCGCATTTAAGGCTGTATCTGATTAGGCATTTCTGTGTTTTCCAAGTGTGTAATTATCTAGCACAGTGCATGTGAGTTATGGAGTGAACCCTGTTGGGAGTGGAGCACTGGGAAAGGGAGAAAAGGTCTGTATGTGGGTGGGTGGGTGGGTTTGTCCGTGCTGGTGATTGCAGCAATCAGTGAGTGCAGTGCAGAAAAACCCTTTCCTGGGAAGAAACTGAGATAAAATCCTGACACTGTGCTGTGAGCAGTTATCACCTCGCTGTAGGCCAGG